ACGCGTGAAACATGTGCACTGTGCAGTGTGAGGCGCCTTTTACTTTGTCGCCTCTCATCGTAACAGTGACATGTCTGAAAAGCCCAAGATGGCTACAAGAAGCTCCGCACGAACCAAAACCACTGCAAATACTCCTCCAGCACCAACTACGCGCGCTACCAGGGCAAAAGCTACAACGACAGCAACAAAAGTCCCAACTCCGCCTTCTTTGCCTGTGCCACCGCCGCCGAAAAAAGCTGCAGGCAGGAAACCACTGATTAACTGCGAAAATACAGACGATACTGCTCTTCCCAGTAAACAGCCGTCTAAATCTACACCTGCTCGCCGAAATGGCAAAGGGAATGCAACAGATGCTGAGCGGGAGCCGATAATGGTGCATTTCACATCCATTTTCAAGCCCGACTTTAACACATATATGTCTAGGCATATCTTCGCATTAGGCCCAATGCCAATGAAGATGACGAAGCCTCACCCTATCTCACACAACTCACGGACACCGCAGTCAGAATGTCAGATCCTCAGGATCACCAAAATCCTTCATCCAGATTTCGTTCATCTACAGTATCTCCGTCTTCCACCTACACCTTCTCCCATGTTTTCCCTCCAAACACAAAGCAAGGCGATTTCTTCTTAAAGACCACTCTTCCTCTTGTTCGCGATGCTCTCGAGGGACAAAATGCACTACTTTTCACTTATGGGGTCACCAATAGTGGCAAGACTTACACTGTCCAAGGTGGTTCAAGTGCAGGAAGTGCAGGTATACTGCCCAGGTCTCTGGACGTCATCTTCAACAGCATCGAAGGACTACATGGTAATGGAAAGGTATGTAATCTAATCGCGCTTGATAAGGTCGAATCTCTGATTTTCGCCTGCAGTATCGTCCCGTCAGGCTGTACGGTGTCGAGCTGGCTGATGCATCCGATCTCAAACCTCCCTCCACTGTTCCAGAACCAGCTGTGGCCCAAGTTCTGGGGTCTCAGATGAATAACCCGGCCTCTTCCATAGACCTGGACGTCGATACGACTACCTTGAAGCTCGATCGCAACTACGAATATACCATATGGCTTTCTTACGCTGAAGTGTATAACGAAAAGGTGTACGATCTACTCGACTCTGTACGCAACGAATCGCCCCGTGTAAAGCCTTCTGTTATACCCAGATCGGGAACTGCAACCAACATGGTATTCACCCGTACCGCTCTGCCGGTAAAATCTTCCCCGTCTTCTGACAACTCAGAGTCCGAGGTAGGCAGCAAGTACATTTCTGGTCTGCGTCAGTTTCGTGTCGAGACCGCTGCTCAAGCAAAAGAACTGGTCAGGCTCGGCCAGCTTCACCGCCGCGTCTTTGGTACGCTTGCAAACAAGGAAAGCAGTCGAAGTCATGGCATGGTGATTCTGAAAATCATGAGATGCCACCGAGGCGAAAAGAATGCAAGTTTCTTTTTACTCTGTGCCGTTCTGCCTCACTTATATAAATTTTCCAGGATCCTACTGCTATTCAGATATCGCGTCTAACGCTGGTGGATCTTGCAGGCTCAGAGCGTACCAAGCACACCCATACCACTGGCGATCGACTCAAGGAGGCAGGGAACATCAACAACTCACTCATGGTTCTAGGCCAGTGCCTTCAAATTCTGCGCTCCAACCAGCGCAAAATCGCCGTTAGTCTCTCACAGGAGGGAGAAGGCAAGGCTGGTCGAATGGATACACGAGACGTCAAACAAACCTTGACCATTGTTCCCTTCCGGCACAGCAGACTTACAGAAATACTGATGGATTACTTTGCTGGAGACGGCCGAGTCGTGAGTGTTGTCACTCGAGCTGAACCTGAGCTCATGCGTTTCATAGGTCATGATCGTCAATGTTAACCCTTACGATACAGGCTACGATGAAAACTCGCATGTCATGAAATTCGCTGCCCTTGCTCGAGAGGTATATGTTAATCCGACTCCTGCGCCTATTCAACGGGCCCCCATGCCTGGACCTGGTAAGACCACTGGCAAGATAATCAAACAGCTTGGACCTATGACTCTTAGCGATCCGGATATAGCACCAAAGCCGTTTAGCCGCAAGGTCACCATTTCGATCGATGGTAACAAGAACGGAAGGAAAGCTAGCGAAGCGACACTGGAGGTTCTTGAAGGTGAGTTCTGCGTGATCTTCCAACTTATTCATTAGCCGAGTAAATCTTGCAGTGCCCGAAGAGGAAGAAGATATCGGCGAGGAAGAGGAAGACGACGATGTGCCCATTAACCCTCTTGTGGATGCCTTGTTCGATGAGATTGAATACCTTCGTCTACAGGTAACTATCACTGTTATCTTTATCGCAACGAAGGCTTATAGCGAATGTAGCTTTATGAGTCGGAAATGAGATGTGCGTTCGTGGAGGCCGAAGTACGCGACGAAGTGATGAGAGAGATGGAGTCTCGGATGGCGGACATGGAGGATATGTACACCCGCCGTTTGGCGAGAGAGGTTGGTTCAGGTTCCATGTTTACAGAGTGTCTTCTCATTCTTGTTGCCTAGATCGAACAGCACGAAGCCAAGACCGACGCCAAATTAGATATGCTTCAGCGCGTGGGACACTATGGTAGTCCTATCAAGAAACGTCAGCTTCAACGCTCTGGCAAGGAGTCGAGCGAAGAGGAAGAAGAAGACGACGTGGAACTGAGTCTTGTACGTGAAGAAAGCGGTTCGGGCTGGTGAATATAAATGTGGCTAAATCTATTATTTCTTGCACTTGCGTAGATACAAGATGAGGAGGAAGACGAATCAGAACAAAGTTCCTCCGGGGAAGAATTCGACTTTGGCGAGGAAAAGAATCAAAAACTTACGAAATCGTCTCCGGCAAAAAGACCGAACGAAATACGTGAATCGCGGCCGTTCATACCTGATGGAGTTCTGTTGCCTTCCGACTCGGAAGATGCGGAAATGACGGGTACGGAGACTGGAGATGAGACGGAGGAGGGTGAGTACAAAGACCAGGCTAGCGCTCCAGCAAGCGAGTCGGAGTCAGACGATGAGCCTTGGCTTCCTGCCGCACCTACACCTCGAGCGAAACCGAAATCGACTCCGCGCTTATCTAGTCCTTCACCCTCGCGCCCAAAGGTTTCCAAACCAAAGTTGACTAACAAGGATATATACCGGGTCTCTGCCCTCGAGCAAGGGATCAAGAATATAGACATCGACGATGATTTAGCCGATGATGATTCAATGATCATTCCTCCCAGAAGAGCCACTGGAAGTGGGCCTCGAAAGGTCAAAAAGTGAGTATTCTATTTTGTTCCAAGAGTGAATGAACGCTGAAAGGATTTCTAGACTGGTTAGTTCAACCCCCGTTGTCCGGGAGGAGCAGATTGAGCTGATGTCTCGCGAGATGGACAAGCAGAAGAGTGGAAAAGTCGTCCGCCGTCTGTTAACATGAGTAGAGCCATCGGACACGTTATGTATCGTTTAGATCTCTCGACCTAATCTGTATTTGTAGATATTATTACAACTGCGTGCTGTATTTTAACATCTCCTGCCAGTCAAAGTTTTGGGGGTTCTCGTGGAAAGTCTTCAGAAAAGATTCTCCCGTCGATTCATTATCCCGTGCTGGGTCTTTGCTGTCTGACCACAGGTAGAATTTCTGCACACCCAATGTTAGAATCTGTGCGTCTTCTTGCGATAGCAGATACCGCCCATCGTTGCCTGGCCCGGGAGTGATTTCTCCTCGTAGCAATACAATGCCATGCGTACGAGCGAGATCAGTGTAGTGGGTTAAGACGAGATATGGAGTAGCGTAAGAGTTGCGCATTTTGTACTCTTGTAGAGGTGTGAACAAGATGGTGGAAGTGGGTGGGTTGGTTGAGCCATCGGAGACTGAGGGGGTATGCGTAGAAGGAACAAACGGGTCTGGGTCGGCAGCAGAAGGAATAGGTGGAACTTCGTGGAATCCCCACTGCATAAAGTGGAACTCGTATGGAGTTTCCGCTGCTTCCGGTGTCCCTGGGTCGGCAGCTGGATTGGGTCGCGGTACAGGAAGGACAAAGGAGGAGTACTTGGCGGCTACAGCGGTCATCTTCTCGTATGCCTCTAAAGGAATTGAGGCGCATAGATAGCCTCGTCCGGTGCCTTCTGACCTCGAAGCATGGTAAGCAGTCCAAAGAGCTGAAACCGCATCTGCATTGACTGAGACGACCCGAGGAAGATTAAGGATAGAACCGAGTGGCTAAAGTCCGTTATAAGCAAGTAGAGTTGGCCGAAGTAGTCCCAAAGCTCACCTTTATTGGCGAGCTGTCCTTGCGAGGTATTTCTGGACCTTTATTTATTTCTGGGCCTGTAGATTTAGGACTGGCATTTATCTTTGCCTCGGCGGCCTGTTTTGCACGAACAGCCTCGGCGTTGAGTTCACGCAATCGTTTCCTCTCTGCTTCCTTTACATTTTCCACTAGCTGAGATACACTGACTCCTTGCCTACGCAGAGCAAGAGAAGGAAAATTTCATGTGCGCATTAGCAAACAGGAACTTTGGCACATACAATTGAACACCTCACTCCTCTGCTCGTTGGCGCAGTTTTTCAGCATATTTGGATTCCAAGTTGTTTGTATTAACATGAAGGGCCCTACGGGTCAAAACCGTTCGAGGAAGAGTTGCCCGACACGCCCTCCGAATATGGTGCATAGAGAAAAATATTAGGCCGGCGCTATTTTCCGCAAGTTACTCAAGTACTACATAATAATATCGATATTTATCTCATCTCCCATCGACGCGCAATTGGCCAACTTTGAGGAGAATAAACGTTAACTCCCCGGAACCCAGACTCATCCAATGCCCTTCACAGAATCATTTATTTATTCCTCTCGTACATTAAATTTCACCTCCCCCTCCTTGGCACTCCTCTCTTCTGGCTCGCTCCCTTTAGGGAATATGGGGAAATTGTGGCAAAGATGGAGAGTGTATGCTATCGATAGACAAATCACATAGCCCCAACCCAAGAAAAAATGAAGGGATAACCACCGATGCATTAAGAGGGAATCGAACCCCCGGCGGGTCGAGCAATGTGTTCACACGTCCACGTGGCAACGACCCAGGTTACCACTACCCCATTAATGCACACGATCCCGAGCCCTTTGAACTTTTCGATGTGCTCTCCGCCTCCCATTTTCTTCTTGGATCGCAAGTAGAGCCTTTTTAACCTCCCTCTTTCTCATCCTGCATCTTCAGCACTCCACACCTTCCCTTCGACATTGTCTTTGGGCTCCCTCAAATTCCGACCTTTTCAAGTTCAACAGACCAACATATCCCAACACTCCGTTGTGCAATCAGCTCTTCTCTTATATATCCGTTCCTTCGAGAGTATGGAGTCAAGTTTCTCCTCCAGCGTTCTCTCGTTCGATTCAAAATCTCCCCGCGATGTTCTCGTCCCCGTTCCTTTGTCTTGTTCGCGATTTCGTTCTGGCGAGCCTCATGGACTAGGTTGCGTTCCGCGACGCTAGTACGCTTGACGCTTTCAGCCTCGTTGATCGGTTGAACTAGGCAAAAGAGAGAGGTCTTCAGTACTGCAACTATCAACTATCTCGTTTATCTCAGTACATAAACGGGACTCCAGCTCCCAGGAGCTCTCGTTATATATCCTGTTTCTTCGCTCTCAAGAATTCTAGCATGCGAGACTGTCAAAAAAAATGCAATACTCCCAATCTTTGCTTGAGTAAACTAGTAAATGCCTACAGAAGATCCGAGTCCAAAAAACACGATAACAAGCAGGTGTCAACCAAAAGCTCTATCAATCCTTCTTCAGCCATTCATCCAGCGATGGCCTCTGGACCGGCTGCACTGCCATTAGCTTACGCGAAAATGAACGCAAGGCTGATTTTTGAGCTTCATCAAACACACAGACAGACATATCCTGGAATATCATCCCGCAAGCCCAGTGATCTGCTAGAAGTGGCCTATATGGACCATCCAAGCTCTGTTCTGGTGCCATATAGTTAGGGTGGCCCCGCGCACCAGTGATCAGGTCATCTTCACTACTGACCGTCTCAGAAAGCCCAAAGTCAAAGATCCGGAGCGAGTAGTCCTGATCAAACCCAATATTGAAGGGCCTGAGATCTAAATGAGCTACTCCCAGTGAATGCAGGTGGGCGACACCTTGAGCAAGTTCTTGACTCATTCTGTACAGCTGTTTTGGAAGCTTGTCATCGCCTAAAAAGGCATGTTCAAGTACGGATAAGCATGGCATGACGATGAAGAGACCATCTGTGTCTTCGACTGGTATGGTGTCAACCAGGGGAACGATATTTGGCACATGAAGTTGGTGACATTGTAAAAGAATTTTATGTTCCTGTGCATCGCGAGCAACTCTTTTGACAACACTAGCTTCGAAGGATGTGACGTCGAAGCCCGGAATACATAAGAATCGTTCTAAAACACTGTCAGCAGGCGAAAGTTTCAGCAGAATGAACACCTACCTTTACACTCCAAGGTTCACGAACCCCCGAGACTTCAAAGCGAGCATTTCTTTCTCTCTGGCTAGAGCTTTCGTGAGTTCGGTGAAGGTTCCCCAGTCATCGTCTTGCGATCCCTTTGAAGATGTCGACCTTCCGAAGTCATCGTTTTGCGATCTTTTACGCTTTAACGTGATTTGAGAAGCACTTGGAGACGTTGAGCCATCCTGGCTGGTTTTAAGCAGAAACATGCGGCTTGAGAGGAGCTGGTATTCCTTCTTCCAATCTGGGTCCCTATCTACGATGTTATAGAGGTGAACAAGTAGATCGAAGCGCTCTTCCATGGCGGTGAGGTCGTATCTCTCTTCGTAGTAGTGGATCTAGAGGTTTGTCAAAAAAGCTGATTGATAGTGTATAAAGATGAGAATTAACCACACAGCTTGGTCCGAAGCTGTCGCCCTCTTATCTATGTATACATAAAAGATTATTGCTTCGAATGCGTCAGGCCCCCCGATGTAGAGAGCTGGGAAAACAACATCCATGTTTGGGTTTAATGCATGTTGGAGTTTGACTAGATAAACTGCTTGTAATAACATCCCCGCAGAATCATCACCAGGGTCAGAGTAGATTTCACTGATTACTAGGGGAGCGCCTTCTCGCCAAAAGCTGAAATCAGAGTTTGGCGTCGAAATTTTGATGCTAGTTGCCTGCTTAGTGACATAACAGAAATTAAAAGGCCACTTCTGAGACCACAAACTACGATAAACCAGAATCAATAATCGTTCTAGAGAAAAATGGGAACATACAACGATATGTATCTTGCATTTTTGTTTACCAAGATGGTTTCCATAATACCGGCAAAAAAAGTCCTCCAGATATGAGCTTAGGAGCAGTCAAAAACAGTTCTGTCAGTCCCCGAATTCATTAATTTGGCATAATGAAAAGCTTCTTTCTTGTACGACTCCAAGTTACGGTCGCATGGGTCGTCCCCGACGGTATCACGAAATGTGAAATATTTGCAGACGGAGGAGTACTCAGGAAAGCTCTCAAGCAAAAGTTGGTTCTACATCCAGAATCGGACGCGTCAGATCATATTTTTTAGAGCTGAACAAATCGGTGTTACCTTCTGATGTAAGATTCTTGCCATCTTGTTGCGAAATGCTTGCACAAAGCTAGGTAGTGGGGACGTCGACCCGTTCGCAGAAAAAAATCCAGTCCATCCGAGATCACTCCAACAAGGGTTTGAGTTATCTTTACTTTAATTGTGATTGTGCCTCCAGCACGGATGAGGGAATTAAGGTATTCAAAGTGCTTGCTTCATTAAAATCAATCCTTGAGACAATCATCGAATAGTTTACCGTCATCAGTTTGAAGTGGTTCAGTTTCTGACACGGAGGGAAGGACATCAGTTTGAAGTAGCTCAGTTTCTGACATGGAGGAGCGAACAAAGACTCGTGAGAAAGCATACAGGCCGTTCACGGTTCAATGAAGCAACCTCCTACTCTGATTAAGTTTCTATCCAATTTTTTTTGGCTTGAGTCAGGGCCTCATCGGTTTGGGAGCTTGGACTGTTTACCAGGCATTGTGCCATAGTTCCTGACGGCTTTTCTGTCGCCCCCCTCCATCATCCCTTCAGGGGTCAATCATGGAACCAGGCCCAAGAAAAATATAGCCAACATACTACTGGAGACAAAGAACTGCATTGAGAGGGAATCAAACCCCCGGCGGATCAAGACATCTAAGCTCTATCTCTAATCATATCCATATCCACTACCACATTAATGCACAACATCTTGTGTCAAACCCTGATATGTATAACCGCCCTTTGAACTTAGAAGTAACTACGATTACTCTTCAGGTTCTTTATTCGCTCTTCGCCTCGCATTTTCCTCTTGGATCACAAGTAGAACCTTTTTAGCAGCTTCCCTATCCTCTTTCCCAATCCACTCTGCATCTTCAACACTCCACTCCTTCCCTTCAACCTTTTCTTTTGGCTCCCTCAACTTCCAACCTTTTCTTTTCTTCAACAGACCAACATATCCCACCTCAGCAACACTCCGTTGTACAATCAACTCTTCTCTTATCTTTTCTTTCGATAAAGTACTCAGTAAATGTGGAGTCAAGTTTTTCCTCCAACGTTTTCTCGTTCGATTCAAAATCTCCCCACGACGTTCTCGTTCCCGTTCCTTTGTCTTGTTCGCGATTTTGTTCCGGCGAGCCTCACGGACTAGGTTGAGAAGAGACTCCGGAAAGGGACGGAGGTTGCGTTCAGCGCTGCGCTTGACGCTTTCATAGATATCACGGGAGGCCTCGTTGATCGGTTGAACTAGGTAAAAGTGAGGTGTTTAGTACCGTTTTCGTTAGTGAAAAGGATGTACCCACGCCAACTATCTTGTTTATCACTTCCAAAGTACATAGGTTCAAACGGGACTCCAGCTTCCAGGAGCTCTCGTTCCATATCCTGTTCTCTACGTACCATATCCTTCATTTGTGCCAGGTCTTCCATTCTCATGAACCGTCTTGTTCTCTGCTTTATGCGTTTTGCAATAATCCGACTGATGGCCATAGGTTGAGGTCTCAAACGTGGTAACGGGGGATTGTACAGCGTAGGATGTATCAGGCCTCCAGTGACAATGGGTCGATTTTTCATTCGTTGGATCCATTCCTGAGTGTTATTATCAGCGATTGTAATAAAATCGTAGGTATCGACGTACCATTTCTTTTCGAGCAAGCATTTTCCATTCAGCCTTTTCAGCCTTCAGTTGAAGAAATCGGTCATAACGCTGGAGAAGAGCTTGAGTTTTAGTGTCCCCGGACTGAGCTCGCTCGAATGTTTCAAGCCACTATTAAAAGGGCTTAAATTTTCGCTGAATATCAAAGAGTCAAGTGAAGCAAACCTTGTAACCTTTTTGTAGTTCCCGGATCGTCCTATCTGTTCCAGTAATGTGATGGTTTTTCCTGAACCAGATCCTTATGTGTTGATGTATCTACGCTTATCCATCCTCAGCTAGAAGATGAGCTTTTGGCATAAGAAACGCACATTTTCTGTGGGCGCAGTGCGCAAAAGCCCTTTATACAATCCCCATAACGTCGGTATTCGGTGAGCTGCCAGACGAAAAAATGGAACTCTGGGTCGGACACGTTTGAGAGGAGAGATGAGGGTGGCTAGTTTGCTCCGGAAATTCAGAGAGGGTGACGATGGTGAAGGTACATCTTGAAGCATGAAGTCGGAGAGAACGAGCGCTTATTTCGTACTAGAATATTATATTATATACATCCAAATATTGCAGGTCAAGACGGGATTACAGGTATAACAACAATGCCAGGTATATACAAACAACACGAGCTCAAATAGTCTGCAGCTATTGAGTCAGATAACATTGCGAAGGAAAGAGAAACACCTTGCCTTACTGATTCATACCATCGTCATATTCCGTCTAGCTAGATCCAGTTCTCCAAGGAGCAGATTCAACGTTTCCCGATCAGCCGCCAAAACATCTAGCTCATTCATGCATTGTTCCTGAACACCTCTCCACTCTCGCGCAGCCAGCGAAGCAACACACATCGCATTCATCTTGCGACTCCGCGACTCCAAAGTCGACTGCCATGACGCATTTGAATGTTTGTATGCATTTTCAGCTGCCTCGTGGACGGCCTGATCATGTTGCA